ACGAGAGAAAAAAAAGAAACAAACACACACACAAAAATAACACACACAAATACAATAAACGTAAAGTTCCTCAGGGGCGAGGTCCCACTAGCAAAGAGGATTGGATGGAACACCTGAATCGGGACTTGTTTGTGGAAAGGTGCACAATGTCGAGATTGAACTGCTTTTCCGCATCTCCGCTTAAAACACGTCCAGATTCAGGATATTTATCCAACCCTCTTTGCGGGAAGGTGGGAGGGTGGGGGGGGGAAGGGGCGCGGGGATGGGACAATGGGAGGGGCGGGGTTCTTTTGTGTCGTAAATATTAAATAATGGAAAAGAAAAGGAAAATTTTCGAAATGCCCCTCAAGTTTGCGTTTAGTTGCGATATGCCCCTCCGACGGCCGACTTACTCTGATATACCCTGGGCCTCTGAACTTTCGTGCAGGCCCCTGTCAGTGAGGGCACAACTTTTCGGAATACTCCTACCGCACCGGCGGTCCTATTTCCCCTGCTGCCTGTCCGATTTGCCCTTCTGTGGGGGATGCGTCTTCCTGAGATGCCCTCCAGCAGGGGAGGCGCTAAGAAATTTGAATTCAAACCACATATTTTTCCAGGCCGCCGCGCAAAAACAAAGGCTGAAAACTCTGTAGCTTTTCAAAAAAAAAAAGAAAAAAAAAAAGGGCTGCACTCCATTCTGTACGTGTAGTGCATTCTTCAGCTACTGCGACCGACTGCCGCAGCCTTGGACGTCCGCGGAGTACGTTGGCCAGGGTCAGTGTTCCTCCCCTTGTCCCACCTCTCTCTCTCTCTCTCTCTCTCTCTCTCTCAGGCACACACACAAAAACAATGAAAGTCCGACGAAACAGTCTGTTTGGTACAGTCATGCCTTCTTTTTTTTCTTTTTTTTTTCAGAGAAAGAAGGCTCCATCTATTGGTCGGGAGCTGCATCTGCTGGAAATCTCCATCTATTGGTGGGGAGCTGCACCTGATGGAAATCGGGTCCAGCGTCCCACCAAAATTTTCTTGAATAATGTTTTGAGTCTATAGCGAATATGACAACACACACACACACACACACATTAAAAATAATAAAAATAATAATTAAAAAAAAAAAAGTAAAAAAGTGCCCCGGTAGCACCCCTCCCAGGGCCAGGGGAACAGCCGCTACGGCCAGCAACGGCCAGAAGGGCATACCGAAAAGATGCACGAAACCGGTAGGGGCATATTGAAAATGCTTGTGCCTGTACTGAACGGCTATCCGGTAGGGGCGAACTAGAAATTTGGCGCTGGTACCGGTAGGGGCATATTGAAAATGTCTCAGCCCTGAACGACACCAGGGGTTTTTGGAAACTTGGATCAGTGTCAGAGGGGCAAATCAGGGTAAGTCAGCCGTCGGAGGGGCAAATCGCATATAACGCAAACTTCAGGGGCATTTCGAAAACTTTTCCGAAAAGAAAAGACGGGAAACGACAATCGGAGGATTAGAAGTTCATGCTGGAACTCGACAGGTTCCCAGTTCTACCTACGGTAGTAGTTCGTACTTGGCTGAAAGGTACGGCCAAGTACGGAAAGGTACGCCCAGTTGTACCTAGTCCATAATTCAGCCCCCGCCGTTGCGCAGTCGCACTGTCGTTGCGGGGGACCTGTAAGTGGGGGAAGCAGAGGGGACGAGAGGAGTCGTTTACAAGTCATATCCTTTATTTTTTCTTTTTTTTTGGTGCATGATTACAAGTTTCCCAGAAATTGTCGCACAAAAATCGTTTTCGCGCTAATTGTCGCACAAAAATCGTTTTCCCGCCAATTATCGTACACGGCAATTGTCGCAGTCTTTTTTTTTTTCACGGCAATAGTCGCGCAATCAGTCTTGTTTTCCTCGGCAATTGTCGCACAATCAGTTTTTTTTTTCACGCCAATTGTCGCACAATCGTCTTTTTCTGGCGCCAATTGTCGCACAACCGTCTTTTTCTGGCGCCAATTGCTCGGCGTCAATTGTCTCTTCGTAGTCGTTTCCCGCCAATCGTCTGTTAGTAGTCGTTTCCCGCTAATCGTCTGTTAGTAGTCGTTTCCCGCCAATCGTCTCTTAGTAGTCGTTTCCCGCCAATCGGCTGGTACGTGTTTAGCGCCACGGCAGTCAATCTGGGCCTCGCCACACCGCTCTCGGAATGTGAAAAAGACAAAAATTTGGCGGGCGCATCTGGCCATGTTCTAGGGGGAAGTTCATTCTTATTTTGCACATTTCGAGAGTGGTGTGGCGACGCCATCTATGTGAGAACTTCCAGTTCTCTGTTTTAAGTTTTAACTTTTTTTTTTTTTTTTTTGAATTTATCTATTTTTTTTCGCCTTCCTTTCTTTTTCCCCGATTCCTCCCTCCACACACACCCCTCTCCCCCATTTAGCGTTCGGTCGTTAAATGCGTAAGACGTCCCTCGGAGCATCCCGACCTGTTTTCCGCTCCCAATGGGGAACAAATTTTTCGAGCGTCCCGACGTCAATTCTCTTTCCTCCACCGTCCCGACGTTGTTTTCTCTCCCAATCCTCTCCCCTAATCGTCGAACGTTATGTGTAGTGCTTTTCTACTTGCTGAATATCAGAGCGCAAAGGCGAAAAAAAACAGAAGAAAATAAGAAAAAAAGCAATCGTTTTTTTATCTTCTTTCTTACAACTCCCCCTGTTCAGAACCTCTTGCGTACAAAGCCGCCCACGTGCATGTAGGTTGAGCGGCGGCTGCCCCCACCCCCGTGTGTCATATCGACCCACTTGCACACAGCCAAAGGGCAAAGAGGCAAAGAAAAGAGGAAGGGAACAGCCAATATATATATATATATATATATCGTCACAAATAGAACTGCCCGGTCACAAATATATATATATATATGTCACAGCCCCTCGTTTGTTGTCTTCTTCTCTCTCTCTGCCTACGGTTTACCGGGCAGTTCTGTTTGTGACGATATATATATATCGGTTACAAGTCGTGCTCATTAATATAACAGTAGTATTTTTCTAATTGCTGATTCGCTAGAATTAGCACAATCCAATTTAATCGAACAATTTGCCAGCTCTGCTTTGTCCTGGACGCTTGTTCCTTCTGTTACTTTTCTTTTTTTTTTCCGATACTCTCGTTTCCTTTTCCCTCCATTTTATCGTATTCTCCCACTTTTTGTCGGATACTTGTCTCGCTTCTTCTCCTCCTTCATTCTGGGGATCTCTCTCTCTCTCTCTCTCTCTCTCTCTCTCTCTCTCTCTCTCTCTCTCTCTCTCTCTCTCTGTGTGTGTGTGTGCCAAATACGGTTCTTAGGGCGTGTGTGTGTGTGTGTGCCAAATACGGTTCTTAGGGCAGGAGCGGCCAGATCTAGTCCTTCCCTTACAAGGACTGATCTGGCCGCTCATTTTGTGATTTTGTGAGTTTGAGGGCCTATCTAGTGTGAGTATGCTCTTAGGGTCTGCTCGCACTAGAGGCATTTGTGCAAAAATAGCAAAATTTACCATACCATAGTTTCGTAGTCACACTTTGCCCGCCAGCCCATCAAATTCGCAATCTGGTGGCAAGTGTCAGCAGCCCGCAGGGCGGTTGGATTGAGCGATTTTGCCACCAGATGTTGGCAATTTTCTTTTTTTCCCGTTTCTGTGAGCTCATGGAAGAGAACTGCAGGCATCTCTCGGCCACTTTTGCTGCGTGAACGTGTTTTTTTTTTTTTTTTTTGGTCTGTGTGTTGTGTTACCCGTACAAGTGGGCAATTTCGCAAATGGCAGGAGGGAGTGCGGGCAATTGTCTTTTCCAATTTGCTACCCTGTGCGACTCTGTGACGCAGCAAAATGGCAAACATAGAGTAGCACATGATCTGAGCATCAGGAAAAAAACCTTAACCTTACTATTAGTATTTCCGAATAAGGACCCCACCTGTTGAAAATAATTAAGATTTTCTTTTTGAGACAAAAAAAAAAAGACCCCACCAAACTCCCTTCCTTCGTGGTCCACCCATTGCAGACGATTTGCTTTATGTATGTTTTTTACTGATATAAAAAAATCTAGGTTTTTACCTGATATAAAAAAATCGATTGAATATATTACAGTATTACTATTATTTCTATTTCTACCTCTCCATTTCCTTCGCCGTATTACCTTTTTCTTGCACACCGTGTTGCTCCGTGTTGCTCTGTTTTTTAACCAAAGTAGAAAACCGGACCGTATGATCCTTTCTCCTTTTCCATTCTGGGGAGCGTCAGTCCCGTTCCTTTTCCCGCGTCCTCCTTATCCTTTTCCCGCGTCCGTCCGGTTCTTTTTCCCGCGTCCTCCTCCTCCTTTTCCCGCCAAGTAATGTCATTACATCAGCTGCGCTGATGCACCGTGTTGACCCTTTTTTTTTTCCTTTTTCCTCTTTTTTTTTTCTTTTTTAAGGGCCTTAGGACCCTTCCTTTCAAGTCTGCTCTGACACACAGCATTGACTGCTCTCTATTTTCATAAACTGACTTTTCTTTTCCCCTCCATCAATCTACCTGCGTCTCGTCTTGCTTTCCCGCGCCCCCTCCTCTCCGTCCCCCCTCCCCGTCCCCCTCCCCGTCCCCCCTCTCCGTCCTCCTCCCCGTCCCTCCTCTCCATCCTCCCCTTCCTCTTCGTCGTCATCATGATCATCATCATCATCATCATCGTGAGGGGAGGTTGCCTGCCTCCTTTTTAATGCTCCCCCATCTGTTCCTCTTTTCTCTTTTCCCTCTTCCTCCTTTCCCCAACCACAAACGTTTCCCTTCATTGGGGGACGGGGAGGAGGACGGGGAGGGGGACGGGGAGGAGGACGGGGAGGGGGAACGGGGAGGGGGGACGGGGAGGATGCCCGCATAGTGATCGTGATCATGAGATTGCCCTTCATCCATTCATTGTGCTCTCACAAGCAGAACTTTTTTTCTTTTTTTTGTTTTTTTCCGTTTCAAGTTGCAGTTCTCAGAATCACTATTTCTGTTGTGGGCCCATGCCGAAGAAAGCCCGCAATTCGTCCACACCGTGCTGTTTCCCAGCCTTGTTGATCGCGTCCAGTTTCTTAAACTCGTCCTCCCAATGACTCTCCTGCCGTTTATGAAGCTCAGCGCGCTGTTCCTCGTGCTTTTCTAGAAGCATCTTAATCTCTGCCGCCTGCCTCGCTCTCACCTGCTTTAGTTTCTCTGCCTTGTCTCTCTTTGCATCACCCAGTGTTAGCACAGACAACTTCCACTTGCTCGATCGTTCTTCTTCCTGCTTGGCCTTCTCCTTCTCGTCCTCCTCCTTCTCCTGCTTCTTCTTCTGTTGCTGCTTTTGGTGGTGGTGGTGGAGGTTCGATCGCTCGACCTCCGCGGAGTCGAACATGTACTTAGAGGCCATGCGGGCACGGACAGGGCGAGGCATGCCGCCGACCATCAACAGGTTCTTGCGAGTGGTTGCTGCGACGCGCATTGCTTGTTCCTCGTTCGCGAACTCGATGAGAGCGCACCCTTGAGGGACGAGGGGATCGAGGGGATGGTTGACCAACTTCATACTCGTCACCTTTCCAAATTGGGAAAGCGCACTCTGCATGATGGCTACCGTAACTTGTGGAGCAATCTCGTCTAGGAATACCGTTCTCCGTACCTTCTGTTCGAATTCCGAAGGCCCCTCCTCCAGCTTCCGTTTCACACCGTTTTCCATCTTGCTTCTCTAAGAGAGAGAGAGAGAGAGAGAGAGAGAGAGAGAGAGAGAGAGAGAGAGAGGNAGAGAGAGAGAGAGAGAGAGAGAGAGAGAGAGAGAGAGAGAGAGAGAGAGAGAGAGAGAGAGAGAGAGAGGTTTCTGCCTTGACAGTTGCGTTCCCGATTCTCTACCCAGTGTTGCGTTCCTGCTGCTGCTCGTGGTAACCTGGCGGAGCGAGAAGTTAACGGAATGGAATTTAACCTAACGATACGGAAGTCAGTCTGACACTACGTAGTCGTACGTTTCTCCCCTCTCTCCTGCTGCCGTTGCACCTTTTCCTTGTACTCTTGCCTCTAGGTGGTTTTGCCTTACCCATGCTGGTAGTGCCGCCGGATCTGTAATTGCGGACATGAGCCCGGCTTACCTAATTCCAAAGGAATTGCTATGCTACCCTACCCTACCCTACCCTGCCCTACCCTCCCCTCCCCTCGCCTCCCGTCCCCTCCCCTCCCCTTCCCAGATGCGGGCTTCGGGCTCAGCCCCGAACCACCCCCACCGGTAGCGGCTCCGGGGCGAGGTCCAACATACCTGGCTCTCCATTTCTTTTTTCTTTTTGTTTGTTTTGGATCGTCGATTAAGAAGATCAACGACCCTATAACCAGGACACTGGGTTTTGTAGAGTAGCGGTGCGCTGAAAGCAGAGGGTCACTGTGTCAGTAAGACTACCGAAGGAAAAAAAAAAAAAAAAAGCGAGGACTACCGTAAAGCTGGGCCTGGGACCATGAGTCCCAGGGCCGTAATAGGCCAAGTAGTTTGAGTTCATCTATTGTAGTGTGAGGTGAGCACATACAATAGGTAAAGTACTCTGGAGTACACAGCCATACATTGCACGTGGCCCCCTCACAGTGACTTTTCACAGTGACTTTTCGAGGCCGGGAAGGCTACAAAGGCCATTGATGATTTTTTTTATTTTGTATTTTTTAAACAAACACATTCGGGCGACACACAAACGAACGCACACGATCACGCACGCACACGCACACGACCACACTCTCACTTACACAAAACTGCGTCCACGTGGAGGAACACAAACGGGCGACACAACTCCAAACGTGCGAGCACATGCGCACAGCAGAATCGGCCGAAGGACGAGGCAGCACAGCGACGGACACACAACAGGACTCACGCGCGCAAGCACACACAGTCGGTGCAGGTGACTTCAATGCCGCCTGTACTGTGTCCTGCGTCGCGACAATCATTTGCGCTTGGCAGACGAGGTGCACGCAGGAGGTGCAGCGGATGGGGAAACTTAGAAGAGGCGGCTATGTCACCACGCGAACGCATGCCGATAGTGACACTCAGCACCACAAACGAACCCTAAACGAACACGCACAACCCCGCACGAAGGCGGTAATGCATCCCGCAGCACCGCTATCTGCCCGGCGCATTGCAACGATGGTCACAGCACCGTCGGGTTCGGTGCAGAAGGCGGGCGCTCGAGGGCTGGGTATGATGGTGGAGGGAAAGAAGACAGGAAGCGGGCTTAGCTTCTGTTTGGGGTTTGTGGCGATGGCGGACTGCGGTGCACGATCCCGAACGAAGGTCATTTCGGGCAACACAAACGAGCGCACGCGATCATGCACGCACACGCACACGACCACACTCTCACTTACGCAAACTTGTGCCCATGTGGAGGAACACAAACGGGCGACACAACTCCAAACGTGCGAGCACATGCGCACAGCAGAATCGGTCGAAGGACAAGGCAGCACAGTGACGGACACACAACAGGACTCACGCGCGCAAGCACACACAGCCGGTGCAGGTGACTTCAATGCCGCCTGTACTGTGTCCCGCGTCGCGACAATCGTTTGCGCTTGGCAGACGAGGTGCACGCAGGAGGTGCAGCGGATGCGGAAACTTAGAAGAGGCGGCTATGTCACCACGCGAACGCATGCCGACAGTGACACTCAGCACCACAAACGAACCCTAAACGAACACGCGCCACCTCGCACGAAGGCGGTAATGCATCCCGCAGCACCGCTATCTGCCTGACGCATTGCAACGATGGTCACAACACCGTCGGGTTCGGTGCAGAAGGCGGGCGCTCGAGGGCTGGGTATGACGGTGGAGGGAAAGAAGACAGGAAGCGTGCTTAGGTTTTGTTTGGGTTTTGTGGCGATGGCGGACTGCGGTGCACGATCCTGAACGAAGGTCATTTCGAGCAAGCCGAACGGAAACCCTACACAATGGACCGGACAATACGGCGTTCCGAACGTGTTTGCACATTCGTATATATCCACAACACAGGCACAACGGTAATGACGGGGGGGGGGGGGGGGGGGGGGGCGGGCCGGTTTTTTTTTTTTTTTTTTTTTTTTTTTTTTTTTTTTTTTTTTTTTTTGCCTCCGACCCTCATTTCCTGCCAACGCTACGAAGTCCGATAGAGGTTAGGCGGCGCCCCGAACACTGGGCCGGATTCACGTCACGACGACCGTCGATGGAATCCTACATCGTTCGCCATCTGCAGCATGGGGCTTTGGTTTACCTGCCTGGGACTGTGGTACATCGGTGAGTTACGGACGACTACCTGCCGAAAAGCCCACACCTAACTCACCGGGACTACGGGTCTTTTGTGGCGGGGGGACCGGTGGTTTAATATTCCGGATCACATAGTGGGAGGCCGGGGAGCTCACAATTCAACCCGGAGTTATCCCGACAACGTCAGCCGGTTTAACTCAACCAATTTCCCTGATAAAGCTCAAAATAATAAGTCCCTCATCTACTTCTAGCTCCCTATATTAGCCGAAATCTGCAAAAGACTTTGCATCTCCAAAATCCCGAAACTACTTAAACACTACCCACAAACCTTAACCTAAGTCCCAGGCAACTTCAATAATTCTCTTGATTTAAGTCTATATGAAAACCCTATATCACCCACCTAGTCTATCGAATCAATCTTCCAAGCAACCTACTACCGAACCAACTACATCTACCAATATCTTTGGGGCGGCCTAACTACGGTCTGTACTTCATTTGCTGCCAAACCTATTTCCCATTGCCTAAGGAGCGGCCTACACGCGGCCTATACTCCTTTTGTTGTCAAGTCTATTCATTCTATCTGCTTTTTTCCTCGTGGAGCCAGTCTGCCAACTTTATCTTCCCTTTCGCCGTGATTGAGGCAAAACAGTTGTCTTTCGCCCATATCTGTTTGAATGAAAATGGATTCCTTCGTGACTGCGGTCGGCCTGCTTGCCAATCCACATAGATACATTGTCTAATCAGGGCCTTAATAGCCTTGATCTGAGCATGGAAAGAGAAGTCCTCTGTTGCGAGCTCTCCATATTGTTTCCATGCAAGCTCCCTTACAGGCTAGTGCCATCTAAGGCCATCATGTTGAAAAATCACTTTGGCCGTACGGCAGACCATAGAGCAACCATTCCTTAGGTCAAAGGAAGTTAATTCCTGCCAGCTCTTTCCACCTTGCTTTCCACCGTTCCCAAACCTGTATCGAGAAAGGGCAGTACAACTAAATATATGACGTAGTCTCCCATCCCCAGTTGCAGCGTTTACATTGTTTTGAAATGTCCATTCCTTTTGACGCCAGCCATGTGGCAGAAGGGATTACTGACAGAAGCTGCAACCAAATTAAGCTCGCCTGTTTCTGTGAAACCATTAGTCTTAGGGATTGCCAGTGACTAAACAAATCCAGGTTGCCCAAGGAAAAGTTTGGTTCTTTCGCTAGTCTCTCAACTGCTGTCACCATTGGTTGTTTCTTCACTGTGGCTCGAAGCAATTGAGCTCCTATTTTATAGCGCTATTGGAATCGGGTTCTTAAGTCCCAGATTTTGGGCCCACCCGTACAGCAGCGGTTCTATCTGCAGCGTTTTTGCGTCCTCCACGTGAAGCTGGGCTATCTCCTTAGACCCCGATTATGCACTCCATACTCTACATTCTGTCAAACCAACCGAGGAGTCGATAATTCGGTCTTCCCCTCGGGTGAGGGGGTGTGGCAGCGGAACAGTCACCATGCTTCTCTTGCGTGTCCAAACTTGGACCTTCTTTCCTTATGGCAACTCCGGGCCCACAATTTTCAGTATTTCCTCCTCACAGTTAACGTTTTTTACCCAATCCCCTTGACCATGCTCAGCGGAGCTATGGAGGAGAGAGACCCAATATTGTGGGATAGCCTTTAGGAGTCTACCGTAGTTACCCTCCACATTTCGTAACCTCGGCGGTTTTTGTTCCATCTGCTCTGCAGTAAGCCATGACTCCGACAGAGGGGACCAAATGTCTTTAATATGGATAACACCTTTCTCAATCCAAGCTTTTCCAAATGAGCCCACCCTCCCATCTGCTTTAAGGCAAGAGTCTGTCAAACAGTAATTGATTGAGAACCTCTATTCTGGTTTGGGGGGGTCTAAGTAGCGGTGGTAACAACCTGTGTCAGGCATACAAAATATTCCTCCAGATTCTAGACTTTGGTCTTTTTGTAGCGAAGGAGGGGATGAGAAGGCAGACCCAGACATCTGATGATCTCCCTAGAGACCATTCCCTGACTAGTAAATATCCGATGATAGTACCAATGCTCTGCCGAACAGCGAAAGCCTGAAATTCCGAGTCCATTTGGCGATTTTTCCCGCCACCTTATCTGCTAAGATAGAGTCCTGCACACTTGAAAAGTCAGACAACGAAACTTGGACCTCTAGAAAGCGGTCCGAAGAGTTAGAAGGGACCTGTTTCAGCCCCCAATCCACACAAAGCACGGTTGATAGATGGAAGAAAATAAACCGAAGAGTTAGAAGGGACCTGTTTCAGCCCCCAATCCACACAAAGCACGGTTGATAGATGGAAGAAAATAAACTGACTTGTCCCAATTGATAGATGCTTCGGATAAATCACTATAACTATCTATTATTTGGCGTAACTCCTGGAGGGCCCCTACGTTGTTCTCACAGGCCACGGTTAAGTCATCAGCCAAGGCTCCCCCTTTCCATTCCACAGTCGGGGACAGCTTCAGGCCTGCGATGCCCGGGTTGCTTCTAATGTTATCTAGGAGGATTTCGAGTTGTAAAACAAATAGAAGTGGAACAAGGGGGCAGACTTGCCTCAAGGAGTGAGTCAATTGGAATTAATCCGAACATTTCTCATTGACTATCACTACTGAGGAAGTGTTTTCGTAACAAGCTTGAACCCATGTGCGAAAGCCCGGTTCGAACCCCAACTTTTTTAACGTGCTATGCACAAAACTCCAGCCCACCCTATCATACGTCTTTTCCATATCTAAGAGAAGGATTACAATATCTATTTTCTCCTTACTTATGACTTTCAATGCCTGAATGGTAGATAGGATATTCTCAAAAATGGAATGACCTTTCACGAAAGC